TGGTGGGCCAATCGCTATGGACACTTCCAGCGATGGTAAGTGTATATACGAAGACAGCTTGCAACTTTATATTTTAACGTAACTGTTTATAACCATTTTCTTTTCAGTCTGGGGAGACTCATCAGCAGCTGGCTCGGAAGCGGCGATCACTGGTTTTGGAGAATCCGATGGTTTTGATTCTTTCTTGAGTATGACGGCTCCACCACCGGATACGAAAGTGAAAAGATCTGAGTCTGCGGAATCGGACGAGGGGCCCGATTTCAGTGTATTTATCAAGTAAGTTAAGAAAAAAGCTACTGACTTTTGCTGAAAAGAAAGAAATTAAAAAATTGATTTATTTCTTATGCTAGTCGTGAAATATTTAGTAGTAACACATCGAAAAATTATCAATTATTGTCTAAATTACACAATTAGATTCAAAAATATAATACTATTTCTAACAATAGTGCCTAGGTAATACCAGTTCTCTATTTATCTTTTAGACCAAAAGAAGGAGATCAGATAACAGCAACAGAAGGTGGACCTGTACCTACGTTAGCGCCGCCGCCAAAAAGTCCGCAGATCGCTGCGTACGCGGATTCCTCGCCGCGTTTCAATCCCTTCGATAAATCTGGAATCGCGCAGGATGCTGTGGTATCTGAAACTGCACAGACAGCCGAAATGGCTAGGACAGATTCTCAGGTATCGCACTAAATAAACCATTATATATGCCGCAATACTTTAAATTGTTTCTCCATTAACCAAATATTTTTACGCGCAGTTCTTGTCTTTCATTCTTTAATTAAATTAAGAGCATAAATATAAAAGAACTGTGCGATGCTTAAAATGCAATAAATTTGATCAAGTCCTATATGTGTATAAATGAAATAAAATATTTTTTTCTTATTTCAGGAAACCCCGCCTACTCCTTTGTTTGATGAGGACGTTAGCCAACCGCTTGAGGATTTCCCGCGGATAACTTATACCGGCGATGGTTGGGAGATGCAATTGCGACAGCCGAACAAAAAGAAAATCACAGGGCAACGTTTCTGGAAGAAGATCTTCGTCAAGCTGGTTTACCAGGGTGATAATCCGAGTCTTCAGTTGTTCAATAATAAAGACGACAAAGATCCGTTTCAAGAATTACCCCTACTCGCTTGTTATTCGGTATCAGACATCGGCGCTCAACAATTTGATCAGTACGGGAAGATATTTACAGTGAAGCTACAATATATCTTCTATAAGGAAAGACCTGGTGTGCGACCCGGCCAGGTCACGAAGGCGGAACGACTCACAAACAAACTCAGCCAGTTCGCAGCATACGCTATTCAAGGGGATTATCAAGGCGTCAAAGAGTTTGGGAGTGATTTGAAGAAATTGGGTCTTCCTGTCGAACACGCACCTCAGGTAAATTTTTTTAGTTCTTGATATAAATTATATTCAACGAATATTAAGTAGTGTGATTAATACATCTGTACATCCCACAATACTCGTAAAGATTAATTTCTAGAGATACAATTTTATATATACATAATAGGTATATAGGTATATATGTATATAGGTATATAGGTATATATGTAGAGAAAAAATATATGTAGATTAATATAACTAAAATCAACTAAACGCTAATTTTACCTTCCTAAATATAATTTTACTTTTACAATTATTATCAAACAGTTACTATGTTTGATAATATTTATTAAATATTGCACCTATACGCTAAATAAAATACATTTGATGAACTATTACCAAATTTTTTCAGTGTAATAATAATAATAAACTTTAGTATACTATCCAAATATAATAGCAATGATCTGTATAAATTTCCATTAAATGTTTTATGTCGATTATGTGCAGATCTCTCAGTTATTCAAACTTGGTTCCCAATGTTTCGAGGACATGAAACAATTTTCTTGTGCTATCGAGGAAGCGCTCTTCAGGTTACCGGCGCATCGTGATCGGGCTCTAACTTACAAAATGGAGGAAGTTCAGATAACAGTCGTGGATGAGTTGTATGTCGAACAGAACTCGGAGGGTCACGTAGATAAACAAATCGCACGTGTTCGTCTTTTCTTCCTGGGTTTCCTTTCTGGTAGATATCTCAGCGATTGCAAATATATTTGCTACATTTCACAAAATAAATCATAATAGAAAAATTGTGTTCTTACAATTTAGATTTTTTTTATGAAACCCAATTTATTGTTTAGGTATGCCCGACATAGAATTAGGAATAAATGATATGTGGCGACAAGGTAAAGAGGTCGTTGGTAGGCACGATATCATCCCCGTCGTAACGGAAGAATGGATTCGCCTGGAGAACGTTGAATTCCATTCATGCGTTCAGCTAGACGAGTACGAAAAATCGAGGATAATAAAGTACGTATTTTACAATAATAAAATCGATAAGTGTAACTTTCTTCAGATAAACATTAATAATTCTAACAATTTCTTCTTTGCAATTACAAATAAGCATGTTAATGGTGATAGACTTAAATTTCTTTATAATATATGAAATGTATCTTTATTTTAAGAAACTAATACAATTTTGCCTTTAACTAATCAACGTGCGTGTTTTAACCATCAATTTATTTTACAACTAATACCTTACTAACATATATCTTCTAAGGTTCAAGCCGCCTGATGCATGTTACATTGAACTGATGCGGTTTCGCGTAAGACCGCCTAAAAATAGAGAACTACCGCTTCAGCTAAAAGCTGTTATGTGCGTTACCGGGAACAAGGTAATTTTCTCTTTTTCCATTTTTTCAATAAACTTTCCGTACAGTATTTAAATAAAAGCGAAAACTTCTTGTTGATTTTAGTCATCATCGTATCTTTCTTCTATCTGTTATATTAGGTAGTATTGTCATTTTCCGTTCTATTATAAAAATATTATATTGGGTTTTATGTAAAACTTTTTTGTTAAAATTTCTTTTCATTCCTCTCATTCTTGTAACGTGCAACAAATTTTCATAGTGACACATTTATTGGGGCTGCATCATTTGATCTTTTTTTACGCGTTTTCAGGTGGAGTTGAGAGCAGACATTCTCGTGCCTGGTTTTGCATCCAGAAAATTAGGCCAAATACCATGCGAAGACGTGATGGTTCGCTTCCCTATACCTGAGTGTTGGATCTATCTCTTTAGGGTGGAGAAACATTTCAGATATGGCTCGGTGAAATCAGCACATAGAAGAACAGGGAAGATTAAGGGTATCGAGAGATTCTTGGGTGCCGTCGATACGTTAGAACCGCAGCTGATGGAAGTAACTTCCGGCCAGGCGAAATATGAGCATCAACATCGCGCCATTGTATGGAGGATGCCCAGGTTGCCAAAAGAGGGTCAAGGTATTTGCCTATACCTTTTTTTACTTATAAACTATATAAAAAGTCTAAGCAGTAAGTAAGTAAACATAAACGATTGGCCAATCACAGTCGAGAACGTAAAACAATAATATAATTAGTAGTGAATAAAAAAATTGATTTGCTTACTGTTTACGCTTTTCTATGTACCACTGGCGTCAGTCGAGATTAACAAATTACTCTTACATTTTTTTTGTTTCATTGTTAAAAAATTTGTATATTATACTTTATATTTTTTATATTATTTTATTCTATTTTGTGAGCTAAAAAACTGGATTCTGGAAGTCTGAACAATATATTTATTAAATATAAAAATATTTAGATTCTGCATAAAAGTAGAAGCATATTACGCATAATGGTTTAAATATATGTTCAAATCATCGTCCAAATGATTGCTGCTGGCTCTTGTCCAATTTCAGTTATTTGCGGTTATTTTTAGGTGCGTACACGACACATCAGCTGGTTTGCCGTATGGCTCTCACCTCTTACGATCAAATCCCCGAAAATCTTTCGGAATATTGTTACGTGGAGTTTACAATGCCGGCGACGCAAGTATCTCATACGACTGCGAGGAGCGTCAGCCTCCAAAACAGTGACAGTGATGCGCCCCCAGAGAAGTATGTTCGAAATTTGTCGCGTCACGAATACAGGTAAGTTCTAAAAGATTATTTTAATATTATAAATTATATAGCAAGAATTCCAGTATATCTATCGAATTATTCGATTATTAAAATTAATAAGCGTTTGATATTCCTGTAAGAAGACAGTCCATTTATACTGAGTTTAAATTCCTACCCGGATAGTGTCACCCAGGTATCACTCCATCCTTGTTGTTTATCAAATGTTAAACAAAGATGACATGACATCCGGGTGGGAATTCGAACGTGCCTCTATAGTTGTCTTTTTTTATTGTTTTCTTTTTACTTAAACCAGTATTATTTAATTGTTGAGTGTTGCTGTATTATCAAACGTTATTTAGGGTAGGGATTGAGCATACACAAGGCGAAGGGCCGGGTGCGTATGTCTCGGCGACGATTGCAAAGAAAATCCCTGAGACTACGCCAGAAGTTCAAGAAACGCCCGACGCACCGGCCGATTCTGATTCCGACTCTTCAGAGTAACATGAGTAATCGGTGGATAAATCAATGTCAATCGTCTCTGCGTTGTAATAATTAGTACAGTAAGCTCAAAAAAATGCGACTCTCACAACTAATATTTTAATTATCGGTTTAGTTAAATAAAATGAATAGCCGGGGACAAATTCAATTAAAACATAAATATTTAGTTCTACTATCGTACGACTATTTGACACTGTCAAATATTTGTACAACTACTTAAACAAAATCACATGTGTTTCTTTTCCAACATACTCAATATCTTTTTGTACCGTTCCGCTCGTATTTCTTTAATACATTCGGTGATCAAATGTCGTTTGGTTCGCTCGAGATATTGTTTTGAGATCCAATTTAACCACTCTTTGAATAGTGTTTAAACTAATATTTGCCTCCTTTTTATCATTTTTTGTATGGAATGAACAGGATTGCGGGCAATCTTGCCCTTGACCAATTCAATAAAAGTTCGTGCAGTTCGTGAACAACCATACTGCCTGACTTCCTAGGAGTTAAGAACCCAGACAACACAAAATCCAAATTTGAGACATAAGACGTCTTTAAGATGTTTTTTAGATGCCAAAGATGTCCATGTCTCGATTTTGAACACTTAGTGTTGTCTGGGAACTTACTGATATTTGATTAAGTACCAATTTTTTTAACACGGAATACAGTACGCGGAACGGTGGCACCCACAAGCTGACAAATTTCTTGAATTGATTCTTGGACGTGGAGCAAATCGTATATTTTTTATTTATCGAACATTTTTAATGCGATTGACAAGAATATAAAATTATTATTACAACTTTGTGATATATCAAAAGCGACGCTTCCATTATGCAACAAATAGCGTTAATGTGTCATATCCAACTAACATAATAGTGATTAAAAAAGAGTTGCATTTTTTTGCATGTACTGTATATTATCAAGAGGATAGAAAAGGACTATAAAAAGGAAATGGGTTACGTAAATCGATTGATAAAGGTTATATATATGGCTGATACACTAGTCGTTTAAGCGGTGAACATAAGGCTGGTATTTATAATCCGTTCTTATTTTAAGACCGTTTTAAGTAATATTTGAAAGTGTTAATACAGCTCTGTAGTCGGTATTTATAATTCGTTCTTCTTACAAGACAGTCTTAAGTAATGTCTTAAGATGCTAAGGTGGCTCTTTGATTAGTTCATGACATCTAAAGACTGTACTTAAGATGATCTTAAATGTAAGAATTGCGACTATATACACCAGCCTCTGATTGGCTTATGACATCTTAAAACTATTTCAAACAGTCTTAGAACCGATTATGAATACCGGCCATAGATACTATATCATGTACATGTTACTAATCTGTATGTATACAGAGAGAAAATTCACACGAATTAACCACGAGATGTTTCATAAGTTTGCTGATAGTTATAATAAACGGTGGATGATTATTCTACATTTGAGAAAATAAATACTTCGCGCGATCGTTTATCAATTCAAAAATAGCCGAACCGATAATTATTATGATTGAGGGAAACAGAATCAGATCAGTAAAGATTAAAAAATTAGTCAATTTACAAGATCCTTAAACGCATCGATCGCTGAGCGATCAAGCTAGTCAAAGCCATGCAGACTGAAGAGATAATTTACTTGAATAAGAATTGCTAGAATGATAATTGCGAATTGTACAAATTATTTTCGATTTTTTATCGAGAGTCTCACATCTACTTGGAATTAAGTATGACTACTCTTTTTTTGCAATTCTTGAATCAATTGCTATGATAATTGTTCACAAAATAATGATTGACAGCGAGCAATTTACGAAACATCTCGTCCACATTCTCGTGCAACATAGCGACTAATGACAAGTAAATAATTAAAGGAAAAATAATTTGAAATATGGAAAGACAATACCGCTTTTCTGTTTTATTTAGCTTGTTAAATCGTAGAGCACTCGCAACGGAAAGCTTTGTGTTCGTAAAGTGCTTTATGACGTTATAAAGATTTAAAAACATTTCCATAGGCGATTGTAATGAATTGAAATTGTTGATGAGAACATTTGCGTGCTGTGTGCTTTCTAAACAGATGGCATTGTTTATTCGGAAATTTACACCAAAATTATTTGTATTATTTATTACATCTTAGTTCTTCTGATTTATATTACAGAGATGGAAATTTTTCTTTTGCATATTATTATACATAGAACTGAAATGTCTTATTTAAATACTTTAAAATTTTTATATATTTTAAGAAATGTTCATAAATCTAGCATTCATTTTTATTATATTTAATTATAACGAAAAATCACTCAAAGAGAAAGATATATCTCTAAATTACGTCGTTGTTGCAATCAGAGGGCAATAACGAGGGAGGGTGTTGATTATCAGAGACAAATAATACATCTAAGCTATTAGTGGACTAGTTTACATCATGGTACTTGATACAGATACTAACTAGTAACTTTCTAAAGTTACTACTTAATACGTGTACCAATTCGATGTAAAAGGGGTCAATATATCCTATTCCCGTAGTATCCCCTAGTATATCCTATTGTTTGAGCTTATAGATGATCTATGCATACCGTTATCTAGTCGCTAGTAGGTATTAACAATAAGTTATAAATTTATTATCATGGTTAGAGCCTGCGGTTAGAGTCTGTGAAATAGTGTGTGAATAATAATGAGATATTGATAATTCTAGAACGATGGTGTCCATTGTGTGTGTGTGTGTATGTATAATATTAATTGTATATGTATAATATTAATTGTATATGTATAATATTAATTTAGTATGATCAATGCTATAAATGCGATGGAGATTTGCGAGAAATAGTCTAGTTCTTAATTATAACAATACTCGTTAAGAATTAACAGTAATAGTATCATGAATAATCTGCAAGTGCTTGTAGTGGTAGCGCGTTGTAAAATTCTAGACTAGACATAAGTTTATGTTTTTATTATTTTATTTTTATCTTTCTCGGTCGATACGTATACGGTATCGACTTGTCGGCAGAAAAGCAGCATCACCAAATATTAGAATTAAGACTGTACTAGTCATATAATTATGCGAGGTTTCTATACTGTATACGTGAATACAGAGAGATCTCCATTAATTACATACAGTCTGATGTAATCTCATATTGTATATGATGTATATCTAAGATAAGATATTTAAACAATTAGAGGCATAAGTTTCAGTTGTGTTTTAAATTTTTCTTTGACATTCTCAACCTGCAAAAAAGGTCGCAAGAGTTCATTCTAGTCCCTAGCTATTAAGACAATCGTATGACACGAAAGAATTCGCCGTCGATCATACGTTATTCGATAAGGTTTAGATTAAGGATAGATTTTAAGCATGATTTTTCGGTTCACTACCGATTATTGTGACATTAAGGACGGTAATATATAATACTCATAAGTACACCTGTTAATTGTTAATTGCTACTCTGATCTTCAACGACGTAAATTAGTCCTATATAAATGTCTCATAGAATCTTCTGTTTTCTTTAGAATTTCTTTAGCGAAATTTGATTTGATTGAAACATTGTCATTCTTAACGACAAGAGATAAAAATTACCGAAAAAACTATAAAAATTTTGAGTAAAAAAACTCACAATCAGTAAAAACCAGTTTTTTAATCTGACCTTAAAAGTTTTGTTACCAGGATATTTTCTACATTTTACGCCATATTATTGTTCTAGAATTTAGCATTTGCATTCATCTAAAAGATTTCTGTGTAAAGATACTTGTAAACATTGTAAACAATCAAAGTACAATGGTTAACACAATTATTAAATAGCGGTGATCGTGAAATATATTATTTATTGTTAGATCCAATTTCGAAAAGGTGTTATCATAATGATGGGTACTGCAATTACAATATCTATAATGAAAACATTTCGGTTCAATATTTAAAATTATAAAGATAAAAAATATTAAATAATATCGAAATGATATAGATGTTAAACTTACTATCGATGAATATAAAAACAAAAAGATTTGTATATCTTTCTTTCAGGATTTTAATGGAAAACAGTTTTTTTTTACCCCGTAAAACCGGATTTTTACTGGGTCTTTTAATCCAAAGTAAAAAAACCTATTTTTTCATGTCTAGTTTAAAAAATGGAAAGAATTCTCTATAATGAAAATATGAATGTATAAACCAATAACAGTAACAAATATTACCAAAGAGTTTTATTTTATTTTATATCACAATTCTTATATAAAGTCAAATTGTATTGATTACGTTTGTAACTTGCTAAGTTACGAAATCTTAGTTAATTATGTTATCTTAAAATTATTTGTTTTTTTTTTTCATATATTAGACGTTTCTTCGCAGATACAAATGTTCGTCATGATGCGGAAAGTTTTATAAGGAGGATACGCATAAAATATTCACCAACACAAATATAAATCGAATTTTCGCATTTTGAAACAGCGCAAAGCTTTTCGAGTTGCAGTGTGGAGATTTATTTGAGTTTGGTATCTCTAAAACGGATTTTGGGCAAGTTTTTTCTTCACGGAAGCTTGCGCCAAGACGTGACTTTTCCAGCTCGTGATCTCAAAATATGCGTAATCCAACCGTCGTATGATCCAGAACGGCGTTTGTGTATCTAAGCAAAAGAGAAAAAAAAATGAAACAAAAGCATATATACAGTTAAACATTGCATGTATAGATTTTAGGAAGAGATAAGTAGAGTTAGGAGAGTAAATGTGTGCAATGGTGTGTTTACAATGACTTTGAAAGAGAGAATAGTAGAGAGAAATTATATACGCGATATGAATTGGATTTTGAACATTTAATAAAAGAGGGTTGATACTTGTCATATGTTTGTTGCGATTTTGCCCGTTTGCTTCTCTGATAACTTTTCTGCTTCAAAAAGAAGAAAAATTATGAGAAAGGTACATGTGCAATTATAAGAATGTTAAGAAAATTATCTTTAAAAGTATTACAATTATAAACGACTCATTATAACACAGTTTGTTAATTTCATTTACAATATTTTAATACAATCACGCATGATGCGTTATAAATCTTGAAACTCTCATCATAATGATACGATATATAACTCACGTAATTCGTGAAATGTGATGGTATTCCCTATTTCTGTAAAAAGTATAGCTTTGATGTTAGCATATATGCAGTGAATAATTGCCTATACAATTAACCAATATATTATATACATATAATTTTAAACCCTGTTGATCCGACTTGGTATAAAGAATAAATTGTAAAGGAAATAATAAACCGTAGAATAATGTAATAATTGTCCTTATCGTATCGAGAAATGTTCTGTACAGGTGAAAAAGTCTGTAAAGATAAAGTTTATTCGCGCTTTTTGTGAGATCTACATGTAATATTTAGGAAAAATAAAGGCGAAAATATATTATATGACGGAAGGTGTATGACATAGATGAGAGAATAACATGTATTTCTTTGAGGATTGCTTCTTTTCAATTCAATATGCACGTGGTCACCCTTAAATGAAATCGTCAGGGAAAGTTTAATTGCAAACTTAATTGCGCTTTTTACTGTGCAACTATATTTTGCTACAACAAACCAAGAGTGAATGAAGTCCTAAAAATACAAGTCACACTATACTTATAGCTAATTAATTCCAAGTAAAGCAAGTTTAAAATCACTACTGTAATGAAGAAACAAAGTTAACGTGAGTAATGATGGCCGTAGAAGATTCTTCCAATTAAATTTTGTAGATAATCGATTTCGATTATGTGTCAAATTTTGTCAAATGTGTCTCAAATTATTTTTAAATGATTGTCTTTTTTTTACGCACATTATGTTACAAGGATTCTGCCAAGAACTATACTATATGAAATTTAAATGCACTATAAACTGATAGATTCTTAGCCTATAATTATTAGCTGTACCTTACAATACGTATAGCTTAAAATAAACTAAAATATTAGCTATATATATATATAGTGTAGGACAGAAATATTAAAATAAATATTTATATGTATATTTACGCGTTATTGATTCAACATTAATGTTGTAATTACACGTTGCTTGTAAATGTTAATATTGGCGGATGATATCATTTAAGGGTTGATCGACATCAGGGTTAATCAACGCAAAAGCGGAGCACTGAAACGAATGTACTACTTTATTTTGTCGTGCCAGATAGTAATGTGTAACAATCATGATCGAATAAATAACTTATGTTACATATCGTAATTTAGAGCTTTTTACAGAGTTATTGATTTGAAGGAACGCGTGTTCCTTCAAAGTCACGCAAACAGATAAGCGGCAAAAAAGTATATATATATGTGTGTATATATACATATACATATGTACGTATGTATAATCGCACTTATCAGTCGTGCCATTTTGACCAATTTAATATAATATGCAGGACTTTCCTTTTAGATTTGTACATAAATGGTGGCTATCGCAGAAAGTCCTTTTTTTTTCGCGGAAATTTCGAGATAATTAGGGGAAATATTGCGTTAAGATTTAAAAAAATACATTATAAGTGTCGCAATATGAAAGTATAAACCAATGTTTCTCCGATTTAATTTAAGAACATAGAGCATTCCGGAGTTTGTTAAAAATTTTCGATATTCCTTGTATGCTTTCATATACTATAGAACGGGAAAATATATATCGCGCAAAATTATAAGAAATGCGATTGGGAATTAACAATCTAAGAACTCGGAAGTCTTTCTAGAGCCACTTTCTAGAGAAAAATATTATCGCAAAAATATAGTTTCTCCTTACGTGCATTTTTTTATTTAATAAAAAAAGGTGCAATATTCCTCGTAAGACAAGAATAGAAATACCCTAAATAAAATTGTAATTTAGAAGAGCAAACTAGAATAGAAATCTTCAAATTACTGTAGGGAGGAGAGAGGAAACAATTAAACAAATGTAACTTTCTATTAAGAAAGGTCTGAGGAAAAATAAAAATAAATTAAATGATCGAACTTTCCCTCTGGAGAATCCGGACTCGAGCTATGTAATTATCGATTGACATTCGAGCATGTAATGTAAAAATAATTAGAAGAATACGCGCTTTCTGGTATCAAGACTGTTTTTGATTCTTCAGAAGTGCAAGAAAATACGTTAAAGGAAAGTTTAGGCTAAACACTTTCAAGAAACCTTGTTTTCAGATGAAAAGATATGCGTCATATTACAGTTTACATAAATCTTGTGGTTTGAGTGACATTTGTGAGTTGCCGTGAATATAATTTTGACGCTCAAGAAAAGAAGCTAATTAGTTTCGTAAGGCGCCTGTATATGATATTTATAGTAGTGCCGGTATAATATATGTAATTATTGTACGTGTACGTACACACATGCAGCGTTGAGTCGGTAAATTAACGCAGATTAATAGCATATATGTGGATTGTATAACGTAGAGAGTGCGGACGAAGATTTCGTTCCGGTTTCTTCATCTGTTTCATCGTTCGAGACGGTATTGGCCCTTTAAAAAAACAAAAGAAATGGCACCCGGAATAGTGTATAATATGTATAACAACAATTCCCCATAACGAACAAAAGGAAAAATGCTAATCCTCTAATCTCTAACTTATAAAAATATATATATATTATATAAATATATATACATATTGTATATGTATATGCAATGGTAATAATGTACCTATATAATTACTTTATGAGTATATCTATCACTTTAATTGTAATGTAATTGATATGTTATAACAAAATAATGTATACAAAGAGTACCAAACGAACAGCAAAAGAAATTCAAGAAATTCTTCTTGTATTATAACTTACAGGTATGAGAGAGGAAATGGAAGAGAGAGAGAGAGAGAGAGAGAGAGAGAGAGAGAGAGAGAGAAAATACGCGCACAGACCATTTTTGAAAGCAAAGACAAAATAAGTGTAGCACTGTTAGTAAATGGTACCAGCGATAAATTCTATGTATCGATAAATAATATAGCATTGTTTAAAGGTTGAAAATTAAGTCACGTCTGAAGTTATATTTTCTTATTCTTACAACTGCGATGCAGCCTTCCATTACAATTACATTACCTACGTTTGTTTTATTTCCTTTAGAAAGCAAATATAGATAATGCAGAATTTTGAAGTTACTCAAATCCTAATTGGTGCACTAATTTTCAATAAGATGATTAGTAGACAGTACGAAAAAATGTGATTGTTATAAATTATAATTAAAAAATGTAATAAAAAAAAAATAAAATGACAATGTTTTATGTCATCATCGATAATAGCGATTAAGGATAAAACACCGGAAATATTTAATAGAAAATCTCCATGCCAACGCTAATTGTCAGCTTTCCCTTCAACGACGATTACATGTATTATATGAACATTGCCTCGGGAACACAACGTCTAAATTTTTTGTACAAAGTATAACCTTTTTTACTCTTGGCTTTTTCTACATTTAAATTACATAGTGAACAAACACAACTGTCCGTGTTCGACGATGCAATCGCCGGGAACATTCTTCTAATCTTTGCACTTCCGTAAGTACAAGATAAGAGTATGCTCGCACAGAAAACTGCGACATAATGTATTATGTAACTTGACTCTTGTATGACTATTTTCTTCCAATTTAGCACTTTTTTCTTTTTCCTCTGTTTATACACACTAAATTCGAAATTTGCATGTTTCGTGACAACATTTTTTTCTTGCCATTTTCGAAACATATAAATTATCGTATATACGTGTGCATATATACGATGTGTATGTATTCAAAAGATTTGTTTTTTATTGCTACATTCGACTGGACTAAAACTTTTCTCGTTCTTGCCAAATATCAAACAAAACCTATTTCACTTTGAGTGCAAAGAATGTATAGCACAGTTCAGTATTATAAAAAACAGACCTAAAATTTCTTCTGATGTTCGTCCATTAAAATTTGAATTTCGGATGACAGTGCGTTCCTATTGTCACATATGTTAACAAGCGCATGCTAATTACTCCATTTGTATCCAGAACATAAATATGTATTCTTTTGAATACTAATTAATAGGACAAGATCGACAAATATTTACAGAAAATTATTTCGAGATCTCTTGTCAATTATTAAGATTTAAAGTTCTCAATTTCATTAATTTTTACATTTGTTATATGGCTGAAGAAACCCGGTAGTTTCTTGAAAACTATGCAAAAATGTATCCTGTATAAAAAAAAATCTATATATATCCGTTATTTTAAAAAATCTATAAAATTTTGAAAATTCATCGGAGAGAGAAAATCCAAGCCAATCTAAAGGCGATTGTTCGCGGGCACGGATCGTCGGCGGAAGTTCTGCTGCGACCGTTCTCCAGCCGCGGGAGACCACGTGACCACGATCGCGGACATCGCGCAAGCGCGGTGCGGTCGATAATGTGCGGTACGGGCGAGTGCGAATGTCCCACCGCCTCCACCACCTCCGCCGCCGCAACTACCGCTACCACCGCCACTATCGCTGCCGCCTCCACCTCCACCGTCGGCCGCTCAGCTGTTTCTGTTTACTAAACAAAGGAGCCAGTTCGACGCTGGATAGCGAACGGCGCGTTCGCGCGCGACGCCACTCGTTCCCCGCTCGAGAGGACGACGACGTACGTTTAACTCGTTCCGTTCGAGTCGTGAAGTCGTGACGTGACGCGATCTGCGGGAAGCTATCTCAGCTTGCCTGGCTCCATAGGCCGCATGCGAAGGAGATAATCCGGAGCGTGTGCGACTACTTCGGCGCATCGCGGTGCACCGACCACGGCGAACGCGGAGCGGCGGCCCGAGTGATCCGAAGGGCGGCGCGCAAACAGTGAGTAAAAATAAATAAGCGACGTTAGCGTCCAGGGCCAAGCGAACACTCGTGCCCCTTCCGTCCGTCCGCCCATCCGCTCGACCTGGTCCTTGACATGATTTCCGACACGCGCAGGATTTGACAACCCTTCGGGATTACGTATCTCCGTCTACGGGAGTTTCCGCGCTCGCGCCCTACGCCATACGGAAGTGAAGCGCTCGACCGCGCCGCACGTTACGCTCGTACTTGACACGCAACACGATGTCGTTGCGTCATACGTCACGTCGTATTTAGAAGACACTGTCGACAAACAATTAACGCCGCACAATGCGCGCCCAAGTATTTTCTTTTTTTCGACAAGCCCCGCCAATGACAGAGTGGTATGGATTTAATCGCCAATACCGTCCGACGCATGTGTAATGGATAAGATCCGTAAGATCTTTTTCCAAGAAAAGACTTTTTGCTTGGGGACTCCTGATGGAACTCGTTCCTTGCACTCGCGCGGTCATCATCCGAACGGATGATCGTAGCCACGGTTCTTATAGAAAGAGCCATCGGCTCTTGCTCATTGCACATCCGTCGAGCGGTATCAACAATTAGATCTAATTGCAAGATGCAGTCGGGAAGCGACGTATAACTCGCGTTGTTCTATAGGATGATTCAGTTAATATCAACGTTTCTTGTGTCTTTTACGATGGCTGACGGTGGAACAATGACAACAGAACATTAACAATAGAACAATGACAATTTTATGAAACCTATTATATAATTATTGTATGTATATCTCGTAGAAGCAAGTCATCCGGTTTTTTTAATCGTAAAACGTACAAACAAAGAGGTCTATAAAAGTTCAATTTAGAAATAAAAATAACATTAGATATTCGTCATAACGCGATTTGACTATTCAAAATTTTTGTAATTATTTTTTAGGATAACCAAGTCATTTTTATGAAAAATAGACGACGTGTCTTTTTTTATATATCTGACGATGAAATTTTTAATTTGTTATACAATATAAAGCATGACACTGCGGGACCTTCCTGACCATGAAAAATGAATATTGGCTTTTTATTCAATACTTTTACAATTCTGCTTATACGCGATCATTCTCTCAGCGATGCATTAAAGATACTAGTATTAAAGAATAACGTAACATGATATATACCGATATACAGGATACACACATAAATAAGAGAAAATAGAGACCATTGAAACACGCGAGCGCACGTCATGCATGGTCAATTTCTGTTTCTTATATTTACGTTTTATATCCCAATCCTCCTGTTTTGCAATGGGCTTGGCTATCGGCGGACTGTAAATCGATTGCACTGTTTCCGTTCATGATTGCAACGGAGAAACCACCTTTCCGTTACTTTCGTTCTCTTTTTTTTCTCTCTCTTTTGTTCAGAAGGCTAAGCTTCCCTGCTCGCATTAAAAGCTCCGATTATCGTGAATCTCGTGTTACGCATTTGGCGTTTTAGTTATAAAATGATAAAAATTATATTTCTAAAGCGATATAATTATTACTAGGATCATTCACCATGAACATAACATCTATGGAACATTGCATAATTATATATATATATATGCAATATTTAAACGAAGTAGAAAGTAAACGCCTACAAATGCGTTGAAATATACCTAATTTACATAATAGTTGACTTTAATAGCCACATTAGTAGTTTATAATTTAAGAAATGTTCTAAATAGATATGTCTATCAAGCTAGAATGCCTACATGGGCATAATTATTCGAAACACATGGAGAATTTAGTGCTCTTTATGTGCTAATTTGTTGTTGTAATCCCGATTTTTGTGCTCAAGTCGTTTAGCCGAAAATTAGTTTTCTGCTGATTTTTAAAGTTAGAATGCATTAAATGGCCATGTTGGCATTCTAGCTTGATAGACATTAAATAGATAGGAGCTTTGTCGGTCTTCGTCTCGGTGCCATTGTATTTTAACAGCTTACGCAACTGTCAGCGAACCCGTTTACTGACAAAGACGTTTCTAAACGCTTGATCAATTGCGTAATCGGATTCCAACGTGTCAACTAGTGTCTCTTGTGGTAGTTTAATTATTTAACGAATTCTGTGCATTTCCATGGAAAGAGAGTATATATATTGTTCCTGTACAACCTTGATAATCGAAAGATTACAATGTCAAGATGGAAAGGAATTTGTGCGTAATTATGGATTTCGCACAACTGGATTCCGATTTAAAGATTGATGATCACCATATATTTTAATCGAGAGAGAAAATGAGCAGTGAGTTAGTTTACTGTGATATCAACAATATCAAGATGAGTCACGGATAACAACAAGGAAAAGGAGAATTTCTTGAATTTTCTTCTTTCCTATTTCAAGATGGGAATAATTCTTCTTACAATGTATATTTATTTCTGATTAAATTATAAAATCAAAATGGTGAAAGTTACAGAATGTAAAGTCTATAAATTTTTGGAGAATGTATTTTAAAATATCGCGGAACTCGCTGAAGTGCGCAAAATTATTCTGACATTTACATTGGCGAAACGCGTAATCACGGTTTAAAACGCTGTTTAAGATCTAATCAGTTCCACGTTCCATTGACAGTCCTTTCATTCCCGATGATTTAATGCCCTTGTGCAACGAAATCTATCTTCGCGGCGCATTAAACAAACTTTTTGCATACACATAGTTTCAGTCGGTAAGATATTATGTAAACGAGAGAGAGATACAGACGCGAATGCACAATAAGGTCATTTGGGATGATAGGATAAAATTTTACGAAGACATCCGGCACATTCGATTGCCATGATAAAAACATAATTATATCGTGTCGTCGCGTCATCGATCATTACATACAGATCAACGAGGTTTCACATAATTTTTTCAATCATGGTTCTACAATCCTCACAAGAAACGTATCTTACGCGACTCTATTTTCTTCACTTCTGCATGTGCGTGTATCTGCGCATTATTCCTTCATCAAGATTACAAAGTTTGGAAGGTCGAACTCGATATTATATTCTAATGGAGAGAACGATTTTACTGAAATATTTAAACATTTAGCTACATATAAATACAGATTTGAAAATAATTTCATTGAATCAAAATAATTATGTAGGAAACTTAAATACGATATAACAACGCTGCAAGAAATTAAATTTTTGCAGCATTGCTTATCATATTTGAGTTTCACATTTTAATAATTAACTTGAGTGTTCTCTATAATTATTTTGATAGTTCAATAAAATTATTATCAAATCTATATTTACATATAGTTAAATTTTTAGGTACTTCGGCAAAATCGTTCTTTTCGTGCTTGAAAAAACATATCATGGTAATTATTAATAATATGATCACACGTGGAATATTGAATCTTTAATATATCGTTAGATTCATTTTAGTTAGTAAACGAGCTAGATGTTCGAACAAATCACAGATTAAGAGCAACATATAATCAGAATGTGTATTCTCGTTAGTGCGCGCTGAAGAAATCCTGTGCGCTGATACTGATTTTCCGCTTACGATAGCGTGACTCCGTAAGATTTTCTGTCGGATGGATATTCGAAACTTCCTATTGCTCCTCACAGTAAAGAAAGTGGATTCCGCCTTGAGCATTCTGCAGAAAGCATTTGTTTCTAATGCCGAGTGCAATGAAATTGAAATCTGACAGACAACGTAAAGTGAAAACAAGAGAGATAAGAGTACTGAGTCATTGGAATCAGATTATCGGAGAATTAATACGCAATCAC